GGTATAATTATCGGGTATCACAAATGTGGCTGATCCTTAAGGACATATTTAGCCATCTGAAGTACCCAATATCGACAGTGGCCTATGTGATTAAGAAGTGGAAGGTGAGCGGTGATTGTCGGAATGTGCCCCGATTCGGCAGACCAATGAAACTGGGGGATAGAGACCGACAAGGGCTGTTCAGAGAAATTCGGAAGAACCGCACCCAACCGATAGCCCTCAGCCGCGAGGAGTTTCAACAGGCGTCCGGGAGTATCGTTTCAATGAATACCATCCGTAAGGAAGCACATCTGCTTGGTTTTCATGGTCGTACTGCTGCCCATAAGCCTTTGATCACAAAGTCCAACCGCGCTGCTCGGTTAATGTGGTGCAAAGCACATCGAAATTGGACCGAAGATCAGTGGAAACGGGTTCTTTGGAGTGACGAATCAAGGTTCACCCTTTACCGTTCGGATGGCAGGGTCTGGGGCTGGCGTCTACCTGGAGAACGTCTCCTTCCAGAATGCATTGTGCCAATAGTCAAGTTCGGCGAAGGTGGAATTATGATCTGGGGGTGTTTCTCCTGGTATGGGCTGGTCATGGTAAGCTCAACTCCGATGCATACTGCACTATTTTGGATGACAATGTGCTTCCTACGTTGTGGCAGTTTTACGGGTTGGACCCCTGTTACGTTCAGGACGACAATGGCAGTTGTCATGTTTCGACGTTAACCAAGGCTTAGTATGGTGCCAATGGAGTTCATCAAATGGACTGGCCTGCCCAGAGTTCAGACCTGAACCCTATCGAGAACATCTGGTACGAGTTGCATCGCCGAATTCAGGGGTGCACTAGCCGTGCAAAATCGGTGAAGGAACTTTATGTCTTCTCCAAACCGAGTGGAAGAAAATACCACTAGCTGTCATACAAAGACTTGTGAAAAGTATGTCCCGGAGGGTCCACGCTGTAATTACCTCTCGTGGAGGCTCTACCAACTATTGATTTTGAATAAAGTTAGTTTTTCTTTTCTATCACAGGTGTCCAAATACTTATTGGTAGTCAGTGTATAAAATTCCTAACAATACATAGTGACTCTTGTTGAAGAATGGTTTTGACTAAAAAAAAAAAAAAAAAAAAAAGTCTAAAACTTATTGTCTAAAACGAAGAGAAAAAAGTGTAAAAACCTGATTCCGTCATTGCGAAAAAGGTTCAGTAAGGAGTTTATGATTTATTACGCAGGATTTTCTTACAATGGGAAATAAAAAATGAGAGAAGAGGGAAAAAGTTTTTAAATTAATTCAATGTACTATCAAGAAAAAGTTTTATATGTGATATTTACAGAAGAAATTCAATTTTTTCCCCCAAACAATAACTTTTAAAAAGTGAAAGAGTGAATTTCAAAGAGTGAAACTTTATCAAAAGACAAAGCGAAGTCACATTTCGAAAATTACCACTCTATCCCATGAAAAAATGAGGACTGATATAGGTATTGCGTATATATTGTTTGAATGTATTCCTGCGAAGTCTTCTGATGTTTCACCTATGGACTGTTGCACCTCTGGTCTCTTGAAAAGAGCTCTTTCCAAGCACTGAAAACGTTCTAAAAATATGTACACAGCGCCAAGAAAGCCATGATTATATACAGTCCACGGACTTTCCGAAAGCATGAAAAACAACATTTACTATTATACGGATAAACAATACTATTTTGATCAACAATATTGTTTATATCTGCATTTATTATAATAATACAGTATGTCTATGATAATGTTTTGATTTACCCAATCCAAAAGTGACGTGGCCCATACAGCTAGCACAACGAGAAAAGGAAACTACTGTTCAAAAGCAGACACTGATGTTGTCTCATCATTTGCGTTAAATACATATTAATAGCATTTTCAGCAATATGGTTTAAATAATTTATATTAAAACAAATCCATAGATTTAAAATTAGATTTAAAAACTTAATCATAAATTACATATATTTTTAAAAATTCGAGAGAGAGTTTTCCGGTAAAATGAAGTGAAATTACAAATTACCAAATATCAGATGCATCATTCAAACTCCACAAACATTGCTAAAATGGAAAGTGATTTAGAATCAATGACATGTTAAAATTACAAATTTTCCTTATTACTAATTACTCAATAATAAAAATTTTTAAATTACTAATTTAAGTAGTAATACTATCACAATGAAAACAATTAAATTAAAGCCAATTATTAAAAAGCATTTTCTGCTTGCATTTTTGTGTTTGATTTTCTTAGAAAATAAAATTAAGAAAATCTTTCTCTCTTTTTGTGTCATCTTTTTCTCTTTTTGTGAGTATGAAATTACAGGATATTTTTCCGAAACAATGGCACCTAATAATTAAAGAAATACAGTTTTTGAAATCTGGATTTCGACACCCAAAAGTGGTGACTAGTACAGAAATTCGGTACTGTAACAGATAGCGTGAGTCGGAGATCGGAGATCATCATTCGTTAAGTGGTGTTCGATCCGAAGGCCTTTACCACTACATGTTTATCAATCCCCTAAGGACCTGTGAAAGTTCGTTAAATTCCATAAAAATGGAAAAGTCCTGTGCACTTGTAATAAAAGTGCAAAGTCTTCAGTAATGAAGAAGTTGATCAGGCGTGACGCCATATATTGGCCAACAGATGCAGTCTTCGTTGGATAAGCAATAATAACAACTAATAACTTTTGGCATATCTTTTAGCAATGGCATATCTTTTACACATTACCGTAGATTTAACACAGTATCGTACAGTAAAAATGAAAAGTAATATATACAAGTCCCAGAAATTTTCGTGCTTTCGTCTGAGGCGAAAGTATCTGTATCTTAATACTCATAGGGAAGTAGACTGTCACGTGATATACGAATTTAATGATGATAAAGTCAGCAGCCTTAGTACCGGGCAAAGTCCATAGTAAGATGAAAATGATGATAAAGATGAAACAAAATCTAGATTAAATAGTTGAAAATTAAATATATACAAGAACTACCATCTAACATTATGATGTATAGTTCTGGGCCGTTAATGCGGCAGTTCGATTAGATAGTCGTACTCCCCTATGTTTTTAATAACTTCGTGAGTGGAGGAATCACATTTTTCGTAGAAATTGAAGCGTGAGTCATTCTTAAAACGGAACATTTGCTTTAGGTCACGTGATGCGAGATTCGTCAAAATATTAAGTCTTTTTTTCTTACAGGTCATGTGACACTACGAACGTTAGTTAGGTCCTTAGGTTTTACTATATGATACTGCGTCAAATCTACGCTAATGTGTAAAAGATATGCCATTGCGAAAAGATATGCCAAAGTTATTAGTTGCTATTATTGCTTATCTAACGATATCTGTGGCCGATATATGGCGCCACGCCTGATCAACTTCTTCACTACTGAAGTCTTTGCACTTTTATTACAAGTGCACATGATTTTTTCATTTTTATGGAATTTAACAAACTTTTACAGGTCCTTAGGGGATTGATAAACATGATTGATAAACTTCGAACACCACTTAACGAATGATGATCTCCGAGGACTTGAAATCTTCGCGCTAACAATGTAGCTATAAAAAACTCTCACTTTTATTATTTCTTTTGTATGTTAATTCTTAAATAAATTGGTGTTCGTCATACTTAATTTGTCCAATTCTTAGTCCTGAGAGTCTTTAATTATGGATTAGAAGAAATATGTGTTATATATACATAAAAAAACTGGCAGCCCAACTACAGGCCGAAAATCCCCATATGAATACTTCAGAACCAAAAGTGATAATGACGGACCGCCTATGTTAAAGATAAATAAACTTTAATGTTTGATTATTTCTAGTAACGTAAATTCGGAAAAGTCAACAATTGTGGTTGCCTCAAACTAATTTCGTTTTCATTGATCGTCAGGATCAAGTGAATATAAGAATAATTTCTAATAGATCTAATTTCGTTTTTGCTGATCATCCGAATCAGTTAAATGTTCTGTTGAATTTGAATTCTTTTATATGAATTGTGATCACCCTGATCACATTGTATGAGTTTTGTTGCCTACTGATTCCTTCAGTACCGAAAGATAAATTTTGAAGTATTGCTGATATTTAAATGAAGAATTTTGTGTTAGCACCCGCTACTTTGGCAATTTTTTAAAACAATATTTAAATGAATATTTTATATAAAGTATATTCTTCTACGCATGTTTCGATGTGAAGCAATGAAAATAAATGTAGAGTAAATACAAAGTAAAGGATTCTTAGTTTTGTTTTTGAAACAGTAAAATATAAAAAGTATTGAAATACATAGTTGCAAGTTGCTATAGTTTGCATGAATTTAACTTACTGAAAGTATTCTACAACAGTTTACGTTTTGAGAATTGTACATTTTATATGTTATTTCAAGCATCTGTGATGTTGCTATGGAAACACCGTACAATGTTTTGTGAGTTCTGCGCATGCCCGCCTTGGATGAGCGGCAGATGGTAAGGAGAGAGCGGTGTGCATGAAGCGGGAATTTCCCTTCTTATCGGAATATTATTATTGATGTGTTAAATAAAGTTTATATATTTTATATTTATACTTGTGTCTTGCCTCACCATGGAACTCCTACATTGGTGACCAACGTTGGAGAACGCACATCTTTTGATCGCTTCTTGGAATTCGGACAAAATACGGAAACGGAACTATACAAAAACATCATCAACAATGGAAGAAATAATCAGCAGTGAAAATACCTCATTTCATTCCTTCCCTCTGTGGTTCACGATGGTGGAATCTACTTTTGAATTAGTGGTTCCAAAGGCTATAACAGAATCCAGAACCAAGTATAACCACTGTGTTGCGCATTTACCTCCCGACATCGCTATGACCGTGAGGGATATCATCATTTCTCCTGACCAAAAGGCTCCATATGGTAAAACTGAAGAATGAAGTCATTTCTCGCTGTGGTGAAAGTAAATCACAAGGAAATATGTCGCTTTACTTGCCGGTGAGCAACTAGGGGATCGTGAAAGCCATCTGAACTCTTACGCGTTATGCAGCGGCGTGCAGAAAATCATAACGTAACGGACACTTTTGTTTTGGAATTATTTCTGCAGCAACTACCTACAAATGTGCAATCTATTTTAGCATCAATCACCCCTGTAACCACACAAAAGGCTGCTGAAATAGCGGATAAAATAATGGAAGTGTCATCTGCTCAGGTAAGCGTAGTTTCTGATTCTTGTGCATCAACTAGTGTTACACCAAACTTTGAACTGCTTAAAAAGATAAAATCGCTTCGCAAAGAAGTTGCATTTCTACGACGTTCAAGAAGTCATTCTCGTAATCGTAATTTTCGTCATGCAACAAATCGTGAGAAATCCTCTGAAAAAAGTGATCTATGTTGGTACCACCGAAAATTTGCTTCTAGAGCAAAAAAGTGTACTCCACCCTGCAATTTTCAGGGAAATTTCCAGGGCAAGAAGTAGCGGCGACATACGCCTCGCCTTCTAGTTCTCGTCGCCTATTTGTTCGTGATCGCAAAACCAATATTAATTTTTTAATTGATACAGGTAGTGATTGTTCCTTAATTCCAGCCTCAAGATCTGATAAAATGACTACTCCTATTCAAACTTTTCTGGCTGCAAATGGTACTAAGATAAATGTATATAAACAAAAGTTATTATCTTTAGATTTAGGTTTAAGAAAACAGTTTGTTTATCCTTTTTATGTATGCAATGTTCAAACTGCTATAATTGGTGCAGATTTCTTACATTATTTTAACCTAAAACCAGATCTTAGAAATCGTCGCTTAAACGATACTTACACCAAATTAACTTCCTGTGGTATTTTACATGTTGCTAGTATATTTTCAGTCAAATCTGTAATTTGTAATGATCATTATGCTAAGTTGTTAAATGAATTTTCCCGTATTGTTCAAGCTCCTTGTGCAAACCAAATTGTCAAACATTCAGTTCAGCATCATATTGAAACTTTTGGCCCTTCCGTTTTTGTCAAACCATGTCGGCTTTCACCCGATCGTTTGAAAATTGCAAAAATGGAATTTCAACATCTGCTAGATTTAGGCCAAATTCGCCTATCCAACAGCAATTATGCTTCGCCATTGCATATGGTCTTTAAAAAAGATATGAATGATTGGCGTCCTGGCGGTGATTTTAGAGCCCTTAATGCTAAGACTAAAAAGGACAAATATCCAATCCCTAGTATTGTTGATTTCACAAGTGAACTTCATGGGTGCAACATATTCTCCCATGTAGATTTAGTCAAAGCATTTCATCAAATTCCGATTGCTCCCGAGGATGTCCATAAAACTGCTATCTTCACACCATTTGGACTTTTCGAGAGTACTCGGATGCAATTTGGTTTGTGCAATGCATCAAGCACTTTTCAAAGGTTTATCGATGAAGTGACGAGAGGTTTAACCGGTGTATATGCATTTATTGACGATATTTTGATTGCCTCAAAAAGCCACAAAGAGCATATTAAAAATCTACGAGCACTCTTTCAAAGATTAGATCATTATGGTTTAGCAATTAAACCCTCAAAGTGTACGTTTGGAGTTCCTACCTTAGATTTCTTAGGATTAAAGTCTCTAGAGAAGAACTCTAGAGTTCTCCCATTCCAGATCGAGTTGATGCCATTTCTAAATTTCATAGACCAACAAGCTTAACACAGCTTCGCAGATTTCTTGGCCTATTCAATTTTTATCTCAGATTTGTGCCACATGAAGCGCACATTTTGTCACCTTTAATTAAGCTTCTCGAAGGTCATTCTAAAAAAAGGAATCATTCCGTCCAACTAAGAAGACTGAAAATCCTCTTCCGTGGTCTGAGGACGCAGAAAAGGCATTTTTAGCAGCTAAAGAAGCTCTTACAAAAACTACCCTCTTAAGACGTCCAATTCTTGGTGCTCAACTCAGTCTTTGGACTGATGCATCTGATGTTGCTATTGGCAGCTCTCTCATGTAACTCCAAAATGGTCAATGGGAGCCAATATCATTCCTTTCTTTAAAACTGAATAACAGTCAACGGAAATGGTCTACATATGACCGCGAACTTCTGGCAATATATGAGTCTATCAGGAAATTTCGGCACATGTTAGAAGGTCGCAACTTCATCATATTTACCGACCAAAAACCACTAACATTCGCTTTCAGACAAAAAGCAGAAAAGTGCTCTCCTCGACAACTGAGACACCTTGACTATATCTCTCAATTTCCCCCTGATATACAATATGTTAAAGGTAGGGAAAATGTTATTGCTGACACATTCTCCCGAATAGAAGTAGATTCTGTTTCTCGCTCACCTATTCTGGATTTCAAACAGTTAGCCTCAGCACAACTCACAGACCATGAACTACAACAATTACTAACTTCTAAATCTTCTTCTTTGAAGCTCTCCAAACAGTATTTTCCGCTTGAAGATATTTATCTCTATTGTGACTCCACAACCAGTGTCCCTCGTCCTTTCATTTCCTTTTCACATTTCTTCATTTTCATGCATTCAGACATATCATTTGTCATCTTTTCATTTAGACATATCATCTTCCAAAGTATTCACAACCTTTCGCATCCAGGTATATCTGCCACTTCAAAATTGATACGCAGACGTTACGTTTGGCCTAACATGCACACTTTTATCAAAAACTCTGTGAACGCTTGTGAGAAATGTCAACGTTCCAAGATACACAAGCATACAAAATCACCCATTTCGACATTTTTACTTCCTGATGCCAGATTTTCTCATATTCACATAGATTTTATTGGCCCATTACCAATTTCTGAAGGTTATCAGTATTGCTTGACCATAATCGATCGCTTCACGCGATGGCCGGAAGTAATTCCCACATCTGATATGTCGGCTGAAACAACTTGTAAAGCTCTAATTAGTGGATGGATAGCTCGTTTTGGATGCCCTTCCACTATCACTACTGACCAGGGTCGGAACTTTGAATCGCATCTTTTCAGGGAGTTCACGAACCTGCTGGGCACTCATCGTATTCGTACCACTGCCTATAGACCTCAATCAAATGGAATCATTGAACGTTTCCATCGCCAACTGAAAAACAGCATAAAATCGCAAGAGAATCCTCGCTGGACAGAATCGTTACCTCTTATACTTTTGGGTATTAGATCTTCCGTCAAAGACAACATCCAAGCAACTTGTTCTGAGTTAGTCTACGGTACTACCTTAAGACTGCCTTCGGATATTTTGTGCTCAGATCAGCTTTCTCCGCCATCCCCGACACCAACATATGTAAATTGTTTACGATCTATAATGCAATCTCTGATTCCCATCGCAATATCAAAACACTGTTCAGAGCCTATCCACATTCATCCATCTTTAAAATCGTGTTCTCATATTTATTTGAGAATCGACTCAGTCAAGCTTCCTCTTCAACAACCATACTCAGGTCCTCATCCAGTCATTGAGGGATATGATAAAACCTTTATCATCTCCGTGCACGGTAAAAATTAAAATGTTTCAATTGATCGACTCAAACCTGCATTTTTCATTAATGATAAAACCTTTGTCCCTAACATTAAACCTTCCAATAAGACAGACATATTGAAACCTACCATGTCAAATGCTCCTAAACCTGTCACAAAATCCGGACATGTCGAATTTCCTCAACATCTGTCTACCACCTACTATATATAACTTATATATATTGTTATTTATTGAGTATTTCATTATGCAGTTTAATTTATTATGTGTTTTACATTTTACCTTTTACCTTCACATTTATCATTGTATAATATGAATTCTGTATATTTTTTTGTGTATCGTTCGGTCTCCCTCACTGGGGGGATATTCTGTGGTGTTGCTATGGAAACACCGTACGAATTTTTGTGAATTCTGCGCATGCCCGCCTCGGATGAGCGGCAGATGGTGAAGATCGAGCGGTGTGCATGAAGCGGGAATTTCCCTTCTCATTGGAATGTTATTATTGATGTGTTAAATAAAGTTTATATATTTTATACTTGTGTCTTGCCTCACCATTAAACACAATCAATAGAAAGAGATGTAAAATGAGTTGCTACTTCCTTTCATCTTTTGCTTTTGAATATGTATGTTTGATGTATACTAAATCCATATAAAAGTATTTAAAACCCTATATATGTTGGCATACTAAACGTTATAGGTGTACATTTGAGGAAACATATTCATTTCAGCATGGCATATTTATCAAAAGAGAAGAAGCAGGATTTAATTGAATTAGCGGAGACACAAGGTGTAATGATAAAATTCCTGAGATAAGTAATGCTGTAATCATTAGTCCCACATATGACACGGAGTTTACGAAAGAATGTTTGAACCGCATCATAAATGATAGGAAGGAAATGGAAATAGAACAACATGCTGAGAGAGAGAAAGAAATGAATGGTTGTTTGAATTGGAGGAGCTTTTCTTTTGGTTTCATGCATATCGAAACATTATGAAACTTACTCATATTTTACAATGCTCATTTAGAAATTTACACTTTGAAGCAATATGGAATTTCCTAACACATGCAAAACACCTCCCTTCGTACTTCAGTTTTTTACACTTCTCAGGAATCGAAAGCGATTCACAGAAATTAGTATTATGTTCTGAACTGCTGCAAAAGAAACAGTTACTTTGACACTAGCTGACAAAGCAGATGCTGTAGGGATATTACGTTTAAAATTTTGGTTTCTATATTTTTCTGGTTTATCATGACATATCTTTACGGAACTATTCAAATGCATCGTAACTTCACGTGCTTCTACTTCTTCTTTACTAAAGGATATTAGTTCATGTCCCAGTCCGAACTTTTGGCGAGTTTTCTGTTAAATTCCAAAGCAATATCTGACGAAATCAATTTAAGTAAAATTGGGCATAATAAATGACCATAACTTACAGATGCAACTCCTAAAGAGTTTAAATTACGAATCTGAATTTCACAGTTGTCATAGAACTTCCTCAAAGCTCTTAAGTTAGTAGAATTTGTTACCGGATTCAAATTTAAATGCTTATTCATACGGGCGTTAATAACGACATGGGTTCTACCAAACCATTCTTTCAAAAGGGCGATAGCAGAACTATAATTTTCATTAGTTAATGAAAACCCGGATACAGCATTAGCTGCACTTCCACCTAGCAGTCATTTTAAATAACAAAATTTATCAACTAGGGTCAAATGCTCATTACTATGTATAGCATTTGAAAACTGGCTCCAAAACTCAAGCCATAAGCAAGAATCACCATAATAGTTTTCGATTGTAAGCTTTGGAAGCTTCATAAAATTAGGTCCAGTATTAAACACTGTTTTCAGTACTTAAAACACTAGATTCATGATAATTAATTTGAGGGTTAGAGTTCAAATTTTTATCTAAATACCGAGTAATTCTATTTTTCCATTCAATAATTTTTCATTTTAATCCTCAACAACTTCAATTTCGGATTCAATATCTTCAAGGGTTAAACCACTTTCGATTTCAGAATTA